CTGACTTAGATCAGCACAGAGGTTGTTTCAGGGTTCGATCTGTGAGTTAGCCGTGCCCTGACTTAGATCAGCCCAGAGGTTGTTTCAGTGTTCGATCTGTGAGTTAGCCGTGCCCTGACATAGATCAGCCCAGAGGTTGTTTCAGGGTTCGATCTGTGAGTTAGCCGTGCTCTTACTTTGATCCCTCTCAAGGTTGTTTCAGGGTATCGATAAGATTTGAAGGTTTTTGAAAATCTTTAAAAGATCAAATCCACCTAATTATCTTGTTGCAATGTTTACCTATTTCAGACCACGTGTCATTCCCTAGAGTATCATTTCTTTGTTTAACGATTCCGCATAAAAAGACAAATAAATATAGATCAGTACGACCTAAACAAAGAATCTTACTTTCTAGGAAATGACACGTGGTCTGAAATTAGTAAACATTGCACCAAGAAAATTTAGGTCAATAGTCCCGTTCACAGTTCCTTGCGCCATCTTGAAAGATAGCCGTGCCTTTGCATCGAAGCGAGACGAACGGTGACCTTGCAATGATAGAGACCTTTTTTAACACCTTGGACACAGGTCTACCTTTCAAGATGGCGCAAGGAAATGTGAAGAGGACTATTAGGAAGAACGCGAAAAAGGTCTATCTGGAAATTGATTTATGATGTCTTCCCCACAGTCATTCCCACAATTCCTTGCAACCGTGGGTCATAACCATTCTTTCAGCAAAGCGAATGTAATACACCAGTTTCACATTCAATGCATACCACTGTTTTTGAAGACCACAGACTTATTTGCACAGGCTTAGTTTCGTTTATAAGCCTCGCTATTCACTGATACCATTAAAAGTCCGTGGGATTTCAAAACATTGGTATTGTTAAAGCTGTACATTCTTTACATTAAAGTTGACATTTGCAAATGATTTACTCTTAAGCGAGGCAAAGCCTAAGAAGATGAGTCTTCAGTCYTAAAACACAGCGGTATTTACGGAATGAGAAAAGGGACTATTCCGACCAAGCATCTCTCATAGTTAATAAGAATATACCCTAAATGCTTTAAACTGGAAGATTGATTATGTTTTTTACATTCTAGTGGCTTTGTCGATTACCGAAAGAATACAGAGAAAACGTGAAGGTATAGTATGCCGGGACCTTAGCAATTCTTGGTAGAAAGAGATTTAAATTGTATAAGGACGTTAAACCGTAGGCCCCGTCTCACCGCACTATCTAAACCTGTATTGGAGGGACGTAAAAGAACCACTGAGGACGTAATAAAACCCTGGCAGTGGCCACCCTCAGTGTCTGGCCTTTACTAATGATTTCTTAACGGGTTGATTTGTGGGTTGGGTTAGGGGTTTTTAAGGGGTGGGATTGGTGTATGTACCTCGTAGGGGACCTCGAGTCCTATTGTGCTACACCAGCCCTCGGGCAAATTCTCAAATAAATAAATAAATAAATAAATAAATAAATAAATAAATAAATAAATAAATAAATGAAAATACTGGGGAAAAGTAGAAAATCCCACGAAAAGTGGTAGGCATATACAAGAAGAATTATGGAAAATTTGCGAGCTCTTTTCAAGATTAAATTTAGTCAATAGGAATTTGAAAGGACACAAGCCATTCTAAAGTTGAGAAAAAACCTGGGTCGAGTTGGCCTTGCAGTGCATTATGGGACTGTTTTAGGGTACATATTCCGAGATGGCGTCTAATTCGTCCCCTAAAACAGTCCCAGAAAACACTGCGATGCCAACTCGATCCAGGTTTTCCTCAACCTTGGAAAGGCTAATATCATTTATAAGTTCCATGATCAAAAGAGTGTAGAGGTGAGGAAGGTAAAAATTCAATGAAAAAGAAAGGGTTTTAAAGAAAAGATTAAAAAGAGGAAGACTAAAGGTGCAATCTATTATTCTGCTTAACTATAAATGTTTTTCAATTGCCGTTTTTCAATCATTCCAAAGAGAATGAAATAACAAAAGACACGGCGGCCATGTTGGAGGATATAACAGAATAGACTAATGACGAATGTTTTGTTAAATTCACCCAACATGGCGGCTGTGAAAACTATCAATATGTGGCTTTGAACTCTTTAACAGAAATCCCGTGCAACAGAGAAGCTGTGGAAGCGCTTAGACGTATGGGCTTACAAGTTGAACATATCAGATGTTATTCACAAAATCAGGGTAAGATACGAAGCTGGCCTGAACTATACTAAAGAATGTTGACCATTCAATTACGCAAAACGTAATATGGACACTAATTGACCACAGAATGTCAATCAATCAGAGAGCGTAATTCTTTACAGCTCTGTTCATTTCATTTTAACGAAAAAAAGTAGTATATGAAAACAGTAAGAATTTTGACCATGCAATGACGCAAACCGTGGTATTGGTACTTATTGACCACGAGCAGTCACCAATCAGAGAGCGTAATTGTTTTCATTTATMTCATGTTTTATTTGAACCAATAAATTAAAAAGAATTAAGAATTTTGATGATGAAATGACGCAAAACATTGTGTGGACACTTATTAACCACGGGCTGTCAACCAATCAGAAAGCGTTATTATTTACAGTTGTTACATTTCATTTTAGCGAATAAATAAGAACTTTTTAGTACTTACATTTTGTTTGATTCCTTTTCTCAAATTTTGGTTCACATCTTTTTAGCAAGAAGTTTCCGTTTCTCAAGAGATGATTCTGAAAGAAGAAAGACGTCAAGTGAGTGGTTATAGTAGAGTGGCACCTGCATTAAGCGGACACTGCGAGACTTTGCCTAGTGTCTGGTTAACAGAGGTTTTAGGTTTTAGGTTTTGCTGTAAATATTTGAAGAAACTTTGGGTGGCCATGCTGCTTTCCAGGCGCCCGCTTAATACAATTACCACTTTATTAATATAACTGTAAATTAATTGAGAAACTCTTCAATCTCATTTGTTATCTATCGTATTGTGCAAGGAATCGTGGAAATATTGAGGTGAAAGCTCTAAATCAGGTTTGAAATCTCGATGAGGATTTCCACTAAAAATTATATTTTAAAATATTAAATATTTGTACTACTTACCTAATATAATATCAGGAAAAACGAAGATAACTTAGATAAATAACTATAATACAATATAGTTACGAGTGTGACTTTGACTTAAGAACATGGCGACTTGTGCGTTAGTGACGTCATCCCGTCCGCCATGTTGGATTTTTGGTCGAATCAAAATCAAAATCAAAATTCATTTTTATTTTGCACATTGAAATGTGTTTCTTTAATTTTTWAAAAAAAAAGTTACGGGTTTGATTTTGACTTCACAACATTGGCGACTTGTTCGGAAGTGACGTATGTCTTCCGCCATTTTGGATTTCTGGTCGACTCTTTTTCTTGCTTTTTTCTTGCTCAATCTAAGGCATTAAAGTGTTTTTTTAAATTACTTTCTAGAACGTAGTAGCTGCTGTGGTCCAGAATGTGAATGGATGATCAAGACTGCTGGCGTTGATCCATCCACGGTTTCCTGCCCTAGCAAGGAGTGACTCCAAATGTTTTATGATTTCCGACCTAAAACTTATTTTGATTGGAAAATGYAAGAGAGAAAACAAAACAAAACTAAAAGAAATTGATTGTTTATTTAAAATTGATGCCAAGAAAAAAAGCTAGTGCAATTCTGTGTGTTTTTGAATCATCGATCTTGGCAGCTAATTAAAGTAATGTAATAATAAAGTTGTTAAAAAAGTATTAAACACTACTCGCTTTTCCCATATTGTTTAAGTTTATTCTGAAAATTGTCATTTGTGAAAACGAAACGGGCAGCTTGCTCTGATATAAGTTACGATACAACAGTGAAAAAGGAAAGTAAAAAAGGAAGGGAGAAAGAAAGGAAGAAAGAAGGGAATAAAGGAAGAAAGAAAGAAAGAAAGAAAGGAAGAAACGAAAAAGAAAG